AGGAAAATCCTAACAGATTATTTAGCCTACATCATGAAAAATGATTAAAACCTGATTAAAAAATAAAAAGGAAGGAAACTTGTTGGCTATGAAACCTAAGGAACAAACGTTAGTTCGCACAAATCAGATTCAAATAACTGTTCTCTTGGCATCAAAGCCAAGGAAAATACATTTAAATTCATTGAGATTTCATTTTAAAACTATTACCTCCTAACATCATAACAAAAAACAATGGGCTGTGAAAACAACAGAGTTCACTGTGGATCTAGAAGATTGATGGAAAGACAGTTTAAAGTAATTGAGATCTCATTTTGAAATTATCCACTTCCTAACATCATAACAATGGGATTTGAAAACAAACGAACAACAGCTAGAGTTCACTGTGGATTTAGAAGATTGAGGGAGACACATTTTGAAGCTAAGTGAGATCAACAACACAAACTTCCTTACATCATAACATAACAATACAGTTTGAAACAACAGGAAAAAAAACAGAGTTTATTGTGGAGTAGAAGAAAGGGGTCCCCCAGGAGACAATGTAAGGGAGGAGGGGTTATAGTTATGATGTTGTTTGTCGTCGGTGAGGGGTTCAATCTTAAAACGGCTCTCCGCACAGGATGTGAGGTGATGTGTCATTCAGGGGCTCACTTGGACTATGTTCAAAATCTTCGACACGGGAAACCACTAAAAAAACACAAAACTGCCTCTAAGCATACAAATCATATCCATATGTATGTTCTAGTTTTAACCTCGCAAGGACCTCCTTTCTACTTTCCTTTTCCTTTACCTTACAACTGTCACTTACTGTTAGAATGTATAGGTCTAAAATACAGATGTTAGTAAACATATAGGCCCAAAATCACAAGGGAGGTTTAGATTTAACCCATGATTTAAATCCTCATTAAATAACCCATGGTTTAAAAATTAGCGCAAAATAAGCGTACCTTGGCTTGCGCGCGTCTAATATTGGACCTCTGACTTGTGTCGCGCTTATTTTAAACCATGGGTTATGTAAATGAGGGTTTAAACAATGGATTAAATCTAAACCTACTTTGTGAATTCGGGCCATAATGTTCTGCCTTAACTGTGTATTAAAGTCAGAACTTGTGTACACATTATTTTTAATGCTGTACTTATTGAAGCAAACCTTTGTTATTGTCATTGTAGACTTCAGTTAATCATGCTCCCCTTGTGTAAATAACGAGGCGTGGATGTCACCTTGAAAGGATTTTGAACAAATTTCAACCATTTCTGAATGATGTAAATATCATAGTCATGGGGTAGATCCAGGATTTTGTAACAAATGAGTGGGGGGCGGGGCAAAAAATATAATAATTGTGTGGACAATTTGTTGTGTTGTACTTAGGGTGAACCGATGGGGGCTGGGGGATGGGGGCTGGGGGATGGGGGCTGGGGGCTGGGGGCTGGGGGCTGGGGGCGAGGGGGAAGGACACTGGGGGTGAGGGGGAAGGACACTGGGGGCTGGGGGAAGGACACTGGGGGCGAGGGGGGGTGGCACTGCCAGCTGTGCCCCTTTAAACTGCCCCTGATTATACATAGTCAACCTTTCCTCTTTCTTTTTTAATATGAGTAAGAGACAGGCACAGCTCGTTCATGTCCCTTTTGTCTCTAGACTAGATGGTATGAGTCAGATAGATACAGCAGCAAGCAACCCTGGGGTACCCGGGAGTACCAAACAAACAGGCTGCCCTGCCTGCCTGCCATCCATGTGTGTCATGGAGTAGAGAAGCCAATCTAGCAAGGCCAGGGGGGTGTTTCACAAGGATTCTAAGTCAAACTTAACTCTAAGTTGGACTTCAAAATTATTGAAAGCCATTAGCATCCTTGTAAATATTTGTAAAAGTTATTTTAAAAGGCATAAAATGTTGATTCAAATCATTCCTATTTTCTATTATCATGGGAGATTTCATGTTCTTGATGTGGAATTTATGAAAAGTCTAAAATACTTAAATTTTTGCTTTTGAATGTATTTCAAAATAAAGCTACAAATGGCTCTCCATAATACTTAGAGTTAGGTTCGACTTCGATTCTTTGTGAAACACCCCCCAGGCCAGGGTATAATAGCACAACAACCCTATACCAATGAAGACTCAAAAGTAAATGTTATATGGTGAAATGATTAGATCATCGACATACTATTCAACATTTTCAAGTGGTAAGGGTAGTGCCTAAATCACACTTGATATCCTTAAATGCTTGAAGAAAGTTTGACAATTTTAATTAAAATGGTTATTGTTTTTTTTTTTCAATTGAGTTTACAAAAATGAACTAGCGGTACATGATGCATTTTGATGTAAGAAGTTTCTCACTGTTCAATCATTTTTCTAGCTATCTAACCATCAGTGATGCTTTCAATTGATTGTTATTGCACCCTAGATTATCCCGATACTATGTACCTTATGACAACAGTACCTTCCCAAACAGTATCATGCTGAAATACTGCCTACCAAACTGTAAATATTCAACAAGTATCTTTCAAACTATGATATGCCATATTTTTTCAAACTTGATATACACTGTACTTGTAAGATATACATGTTATCCTGACATGCCCTCTTGTGCAGAAACGGCGCGATTCTAAATTTGACATCACCTCCAAAAATACACAGGAGCCGTTAAAATGGCAGGGCTAATTCAAGAAAATAAAAACAGTCTGGACCTTGCACTGCACAATGGGTGCAATCATGCAAACTTAACGCCATTCATTTATAACCATACAGACGTCATTTCAACCTTCATTCCTTTCATTTACCAAACAGTATATAAATCAAACGCAGCATTCATGAAAAAACACGCTGTATTCTCATATGCTCCATTTTTTATAAAACTTGATTATAATTTGAATGCCGGCAGTGCCAATAGTAGCTAATTTATTTGTCTGAAATGACTGAATTGGGGAAACTGATTTCAACTTGTATCAAATATACATGTAGGAAGTGTTGGCTTTCTCTGTTATACCACCTAGGGAAATCAACAATACAAATGGAGGAAATAGGTATTTGGCACAGGATTGAGGAAATCAGGAAGTCAAACAGTTTGGAAGTGACAAGACATTTCTTTTCAAAATGGAGGATAATACATGTAACTACAATTTTATTTCTATTCTGATTTCTTGTTCAACATTATTTCCTTCTGAAGGTCTGTGAGTCCTGTACATGTTGTGAGTTGCCCCCCCCCCCCTCCCCTTCCTGTACCTTGTGCTATTTTACATTAGATAGTCAACGAATATATCAATGCATATGTTAGAGTACAATGAAGTACTGAACATACATTTAACAATGAAGGTATAATTTCACTTGATATTTCATGCCTTTCAACACTATGGTAGTGATATAAACTTATAGACATGTAATTTTAAGGGAAACTAATATAAATAACTTTATTTGGTTTGCATTAGACACTGTGGACTAGTGCATTACCATCTAAATTCATTGAAAATTAAAGTCCTTTCAATATAATTTCTGTCCACAAATGCTATGTCTAGAAAATGATTGTTGTGCCCGCAACGGGCTGATATAGAAACCATAAACTGACATAATTTGCCTGAGTCTCGATCGTTACACAACATTATCTTCTTTGATAACGAGGCTACATGCTGTTACACTGTTGCAGGTCTCGCCCACGAGAATAGCGTGTCTGAGAGATGGTTTGACCACAATAATTCAACATCTTTTTAATGTGTTAATCTTTCCTCCCACTACCGTCCCTCCCTTTCATCATTTCTAAATGTATTTCACCACGCAATGAGATCATATCTATGTATTATAATGATCAGATCCTGTAGTAATTTGCTGCATTGTAGAACCTGATGAGTCACTTCCGTTTAATCAATCTAACCCCGCCCAAACACAAAAATAGGTAGGTGGGAAGGTAGAGGTGGGGTTCTGTCAACTAAGACCACTTCCTGAGTGTATTGAAAATACAAAATGTCAAGGCAATCCCTACAAACAAATTCCGTAAATTCTTTTTCACATTATGATGAATGATTTAATGTGAAGCAAATGCAATCTCAATTAAGAATCACCTTCGATTCAACACAAAACAAATTGTTTTGAGAGTCATGAAAGTTATGAAACTTTTCAAACTATGTATCCACATTTATGTCATTTCTTTATCCTTAGATCCCTAATAGACATGTAGAGGGTTATTAGTATGAATAGATGCCATGTGAACCGGGGCTGTTTCATAAAATTTGCTTTCGGACACAACTGCAACGGTTCTATAACAAATATGCTAAAAGTCAATCAGATACAACAATTGTAACTTGTTAATGTTTTGAGATTTATGAAACAGGGCCAAGGCACCTGCTGGCTTTGCTTATAAACAGATCTACAATTCTCGCAGTGTCAGACATTAATTAATCAAATTTGAAAAGAAAAAACATTTCTTGGAACATTAAAGTTCTGAGGCTATTTCATCTACAGCTTGCCAGCTTTATCATGATAGTAAATTGATATACTACACACAACTCCTAAAGATTCTCCCTTTTTTTGCACCTGCTATCAACCAGGAAAATTCGTACAAGTACATAGTACCACCGTTAGTAAAGGTAGCACATATATAATACATTAAATAGATAACTACCCTGTTTCCTGTTGAGAACCCACTAGATAAGTGTTTCATAAGATTGTTGATATCTCATTTCATAGACTTTCTTCTTCTTTTTTTCAGGGCAAAGTGTAACAAAATATTATTGTAAACCAGAACTTTCAAATTGGCAATTTTTTGTACCACGTGTCGATTTCTTAAAGGCTCAAGACACAGAAAATTTTCTTGATTTACAGTACCTGTACTCTACACTTGCTCGTGATTGTGTCCTCTACACCAATTTCACTTGACAAAGTATTTGAGCAGAATATAAAATGTTCTTGCTTTCCCACTTTGGCAAGTGCAACATCTATTTATTTGCTTCTGAGCAGATTTTACTTGCCCTGGAGCTATTAGGGGTTGGTATTACCATGTAGGGTCCTGATATTTACCTGTGCCCAGCATACTGCTGCGTGTATAGGTTGCCAGCCGTCATTGTCTCGTGCTGCATAGTCTACGTTGTGACTTAGCAAGTACTGCACCACCTTCTCGTAACCATTGGCTACGGCAACATGGAGCTGAAACGACAAGAAATATAAATATTAATTAATGAATTAAAAAATTAAAAAACACAAATGGATATCAGCTTGTAAACCAACTACCAAGGCTTTCTTAGCTTTATATATATCTTTTGTTATTGCTTTCTCGTTGTTGTTGACATCTTCAGGTCACAAGGGAAAAGAGAAGAAAGATTGAAAACAGAAAAGGAGAGGAAAACTAAAGAGACAAAGTACAATAGCTCAGTAGTAGAGCAGTGGTCTTGTAACAGGGAGGTGCCGGGATCAAAACCAAGCCTATGCACTAGAACCCTTTGGTAAGGCATCAATCCTCATTACCAAGTCCCTCGGAGAGGATTTAAAGTAGTTGGTCCACTGGTTGTTTGCTTACAATCGTACTCATGCTTTAATAGCAGTCAGGTAAAACACCAACTAACAAATTTTCCTAAGCAAGTCGTCTTTAATACAGTTTTAAAGCGGGACTACACTACTTGTAGCTACTTGCGCCCTCTATATAGCAAACAAATGCCTAATCGGTGACCGCTGGTCCCCCCATGATCCCCTTTTTTCATATGTTAATTGAGAGCTGATTTGATGAAATAACCACCTGTCAGTGACCACGCTGGGTGATCTAATCCCTCCTGGCCAAACTAGTGCAGATGGGCTTTAAAGCAGAAATTCCATTCAATTTACAGTCTTTCCATACGGCAGGTCAGACCAATTATACAATATACCAATCAGTAACATTATTGTGATACTTTTGTGAAACGCCCCCCTGGTGGGACCAGTCTACTCACAGGTGTAGCCCCTACAACATCTCTGCTCTCGAGGTCTCCTCCATTCTTGTAGATCTCCTGCATGCCATGAAGCATTCGGTTCGGGACAATTTCTCTGAGTTCATCGATTTGCTCTTGCGTAATACCTGTAAACGGACAGAGAAATACATGAAACATGCTTGATATGGATTACATATTAATCAAGAGGGTCGCTATAAAGAACTGTGATGGAGCACAAATTACTTCAGGATGAGGCATTTCAGTTAGCAGTATGCAGATGGAGAAGTCATGTACTTGGAATGGTGTGAGTAGTTCTTTCTTTGGGGATGGGGGACTATGAAACAACCTGATTTTAGGTAGCCTTCATTCATCATCTCCATTCAATAGATGATGAAGATTGAATGAACCTAGTATACCTTAGAGGATAGACTGGCTAAATGTAAAGAGACTTGCACATATCAAATTCTAAAAGTACTGGGTGAATAATAATCTTCATGAAACCAAGCCGCCTTGCAATTTACTCAGTCACAGGACATTATAAGCACGAAACGGCAGCATATCCTTGGTTATAAAAAAAAACCTCATTGTAACCAACGTGCTATTGTATCTTCTTCACCCATCCAATTTTCTGTCCTTGCATTCTACTTGTCTATTTTGCTTATGCTGCATGTTCATATGGAGAACAGGAATGATCCAGGCCTGCAGATTCACAGATTATGTGTGGTTAACCACAGCAATACCACATATCAAACACTTACTTTGAGTTTCTATGTGCCAAGATTGGCCACATACATCAGTTCATACATGAATTTACATATGTTGCGATAAAAAGAAATAGACGGTGCAGGAAATATCAAATTTTTGCACCATGAAATTAGATTTTCGTTCCCCAAAAACTCTCTCTTTCTTCTGCTGGGTACATAGCAAAACATGAAAATCAGTTCATATCTACTTTAGATTTGTCCATACCCTGTTTTTCCATCCAACTCTGACCAATCGCTTGTATCCTTTTATAGAATGGAGTTGGTTTGGCAATGCAACAAGACTACTTTAAAAAAGAGCCATTCTTAATATGTGATTTGTTTCTCAATCATTGGCATCTTCATACTCTTGTCCCAGGTAATTGCTTGACCTAATGCATGATCACAACTGACTACCCTCCCGAATGCATTACACTTTTAGATGCATCATCTTTACGCATACAGGGGAGAGTTTTCTGATAGAAAGCAAATATATCCTTCAATTAAAGGCTGTTAAGAGTAGTTCCCCTGCAGTGGTGGATCCTTCATTTACGCCTTAATGGCCTACCTTGCGTTGCCATCTGTGACTCAATGTAGTCCAGCGTGCCTTCATCTTCGCATATGTCATAAGGCATGTTACCGTCAGAGTTGATTGCTAAGAGATGTGCTCCTCTGCAGAAATCAAAAGATAAAAGAGAGGAAAGAGAGACGCTGGTGATAAGTCTGAAAGCTCCAAATAGGGGGATAAAAAATGGGAACAGTGAGTGACTTACATGTCTAAAAGGGTCTTAAAAGCTCAAAAGGAGCTCAGAACGAGCTCAGAAGGAGCTCAGAACGAGCTCTTAAGAAAGAAGAAATAGGAATCTGGTAAATACAGACAATAAATTATAGTTTTGCTTTAGGATATTTCACTCTTGCAATGGTAACAGAGCTCCTGTGAATGAAAACATTTTGTATTGTTAGAAGTCACATCCCCCCCCCTCTTAAATTGAAATGTAAACACTATAAATACTTAAACTTTAAAATATGATTTGGGTGTCAAATGTGCTTCTTATTTTTATATTAACAAGGTGGTCAATTTATACATTTTTGTCATTATTATTTTCTGTTCACGCAACACTAAGAACAATATATGTGTTAGATATTCCAATACACTATTCTACTTCAATCACATTATTGAGAAAAAAATCTATATGATTTGAATAATGATATACTTCATAATAATGTTAAACATCCCATCATCTTTTCTGATACTTGAAGATTAGAAGTAAGACTATTCCATTGATTCATTTAATGCCTCGCTCAAAAATTCCTAACATCTTCTTTCAAGATGCCTTCCCACTCCTCAAGTCATCTCTCTCTCTCTCTTCATTACTTATGCCTTTCTCGTAGCGAGACATTGCACACGTGTCTACAATTCAAATAAGAATCAGGTCCCTCGGTTAATTTGCCCCATTACACAATCAAGTAAGGAGCGTGAAACGCTGTCTCAAGGAAGAAGAAAAAACACCATCCCCGCATCTCAACCTAGTTATCATCGTCAGCAATTAATTAAATCAAGTGGAATCTAATTTGCGACTCTTAAGACCTCTTTTCTGAGCGCATCTTAAGCATCCCAATTCAATTTCACTGTCTGCACCTCTGCAATTAGAGCTGTGGACGTGCACTGAACAACTGTTTTTAATCCCGATTAACTCATAGAAAACAAACTTTTGCATATGAACAAACAAAACTGAGGGTAATTGACTCATACACTGCACCTAACATAAACATAAAAAGTAAAACGAATTGTTTTCCTTGTTGAAGACCCAGAGACAGATAGGAAAGACATGTAAAATGCCATTTTAGCCCTAAGCATATGAAACAAGATAAAACTAGGGACATGGAAAAGGGTAATATTCACTCCTGAATGCTTTAAGATATCTAGCCTGTTCACACAAGGGGAAATGTATACAAAACTCATAAACATGTATAAAATCATTGTATAAAGAATCATCATAATGTGAAAGAGGTGTAAAACACATGAACAAGGCATCGTTTATCAGCAACTAGTTTCAAAGAGGTAAGTTGACAGAACAACTGGCTACTCATCAGCCCACACAATAAGTCTTACCAAGTTATACAGCTTTCTTGCACTATGAAACTCAGACAAGAAGAGATCCTGTGATTAATTATTGAGTATCAATTCCCTCAAAATGATGCTCAAACATGTGTTTCGCTATTGAATCATCATCTCATAAATACAACATGCAAAGTTAATTACTTGTTTTAGAGCTGTATAGTGTCCATATGATCATGTGCTGTAACTATATGATGAATATATTCTGAAGAGGGGGGAGGGTAAGAATATCAACAACATATAGTCCACCCGAGCTAACCTTATACTTAATCACTGAACCATGCACACGGTTTACTGATTTATAGCGTCAACCATATGGTGTTATTATTTTGTTGTTTGTTTACGGTGCAATCTATTGTGTATCCAATATTGCAGATATGTACATGTATATTACATTATAGGTGTATATTTACATGTAAACCTACATGTTTACCTGTGTATATGTGCAAATATAATACCTAAGAATGAAAACATGGTCTAAATTAGAGATTGTGCTGTACAAGACAAAACAAAATCTATTTTACAAGACTACAATACAGTAATTACAATTTTTTTTCTTCTTTAAATTATTGGCTGCGACTTGGAACATGCGCAAAATAAATAGGAATTCACGGATAGCTATTCAAAACCATATTCATATATTAGGGAGCAATAAGGTTTGTCACATTTGGATTACAAACTACATGTCATTTGTTACAAAGGGCCAGAAGGACATAAACTTATATCACTCTACATGGGCTTAATGCCTTTCTGGCTGTTGGCATGAGAAAATACACATGTTCTGTGGGGGGGGGGGGGTAGCCTATATGTACATGTATGTCATTTTTTCAGACTGAATCAATACCATTAGTATAATGTAAAATTTGATCAATAAATTGTGAAGTTATGAGGAAAATGATCAATACATGTTACTAATTGTACCGACCTTTGTTCGCATCTATCAGTATAATACCTTGGGCACACCAACAAGACCGAAACCAGACCAAACAAAAATATTACATTACATCTATGGCCAATAATCGGTTGGTTTGGAGTCTGTCTGAAGTCAATTAGCGGTGTGACTGAGGGATTCGAGTACTAGCCCAAAGAAATTATGAATCAGTAAATGAAATGTGGAACAAAGATATTCATGATAATTAAATAAATACAAAAGAGATCCTGCTAAAAAATATGAACCATACATGTAAATCGAGAAATGGAAATTATTTTCCCTGATAGATTATTAATGCCTCCCATATCTTTTATTGAAATGCAGAAAACTTAACAATAATGATTGAAGTCATCTAGACTTCTCTAGCCAATTCCATGAAGTCTCAAAGATAAAGTTGAGTTCTGGTCATGCGATTGCATTGTGAAAGAAACGGTGTGGAGTCGATCAGAAAAGCATGATCATCTAGCATATAAGTATTTGTGTGTATTGCAAGGTTCTGGAATCATCAAAATGATGAGAATTTGGCCAAGTCTTGGTAAAGTTGGGACTACAGATGGGACTACACGAACATGTGGCGTAAAAATCTGTCCCGATTTTTACGATGTTACATGCCATATTTAATAGAATATGAAGGCGGCTGAAGAGCCATGCTTTTCAGGGAGCATGTTTGATCTGATGTTCTTCCACACTTGCATAATAACAATGATAACGCTCACAAATTATTTTTCACCTCTTCCCAGAACTAGACCTTCTCTTTAACCATATCAGTTGATTATGTGCATCATTAAACAGGATGCATAATGAAAGCAACAAGGTTAAAACTTTCCCAGCCTTCACATGCTGGCTCCTCTCTAAAGGAATCAAATGAATCCATACGTAAGACATCCCAGAATGGTACTCATGCATAGCGGCTAGACAAACACCATCTCAAACCAGAAGGGGGTTAACTCAATATCTTTTTAAACAGAATTAATAACCTTCTAGCTATACACAGACTACAGTGTACATCTTTATCCCAGGAAAAGTTTTTACCATTCAGATGTGACCCCTAGGAAAATTGATCAGTCATCAAGGATTCTCCCATCCATTTTGTTTGCTTATCATGGACCATATCATGATCCATACACTAGCTGTTTGTATATATACAAGATACATGGATGACATCATGGGGATTTCCCTAAGCCAGGGTTTGTTATCATGGGAATCAATATATGAGTGGTGCAGATCTACATCATATCACAAAAGGGTACACTGATCCAAATCTTTTTTCTATATTCAACTACTTTTTATCAAATTTGCTTAGAAAATGTCAGATTCTATTAAAGAGGAAGTTGAGTAACATTCAAGTGATTACATGGTGAAATAAATATGTTGAATATGGCCTTTTCGTTATTATTCTAACTCTTTTTTTTTTCTCATAATGAATGCACAGATTTCTATTTGATGAATTAATATTGCTTGGTAGCCCTGGGGGAGGGGTGTTACCAGAGCAACAACTGTGCAGTAAATCATGATCGTGGTAAAACCAAACTAGGTTAATTCTATGCCACAGGCACTCCAGTCTTCTCTCTAAATGATGACCAAAGGTCTGACATGAATGAATTATTCCATGCAGAGCACATTCGATTCTACGGTGAAATTTATCAAGGAAGTTATTCCTAAAAACTAACGCTCACAACAAATAAGTTCTCCTTGCAAAATGTATCATCGAGAACATGATTTGTTGGTGAGGCTTTTTAGACTTGACTTTGTGAAATATGAAGAACTTGGAAGATGCAAATAATAATAATATTAATCTGGATTTTTTTTTTTGGCGCTTAATACAGAACATCGTCTCCAAAGTGCTTTACACATATTATTACTACCATATGGTCACCATGAGGGCATAGGCAATTACTAACACAAAAGCTTTTGTCATCCTACCGGGTCCCCATTTCTCTCTTGGGTACTGAGTGGCAAATGTAGATTATTGCCTTGCAAAAGGACATTTAATAGTGCCGGGTCGGGATCGAACCTACGTCCTGTAAATTTCTAGTCAAGTGCTTAAACCACTCGACTACGACACTTCTACATGCCTGGGGTAAGGTTGCAAAAATATGATGGATGCCATTGCTTGCAGAGATCACTGATGAATAAGAAATGTGTAAAAGAGTTCCCTAGACATTCGGGGAGGAAGGTCACATTCTATGCCTCACGGTGTGTTCACACTCTCACTATATTCCTACTTTAAATATTGATAAGTTCCCATTAGCATCTATAACATCAATTACGTCTCGATGCTCTATATGAAAAGCTACATATACAATGATGTATGGTCAGTCTGGAGGTGTTGTTGTATTAGAGGTTTATTCGGTTGACTCTCAATCCAAGGGTTGAGACTTTAAAGGTATTACAAAGTTTTGGTATGGGGTCATGAATTTGGTTCAAATTAAGATATTGGAAGCATATGCGTTCCTACAATATACATTGATCGTTGTCGCGGTTGAAATCGAGTCTAAAGTTATGACATTATAAATAAGAAACTCTTAATGTTGTATAGCCCCCTCTCAAGGTCAAGATATTAATTTAGCTATGAAACAATGTTTCTTGACTAAAATCGACCGATTAGCTATTCCTGTTTGG